TGAATTCCATCTTTGAACCACAACACTATTGGTTTGGGTTTACCTTGAACCTGACAGTCTAAAGTCAAGCTCCCATGTTGCTCTATTTCAAAGTCAGACTTTGGGCTTGAGGTAAAATAAGCTGGAACTAAGAAAATTTAGTAGAACCTTTAATGAGAATATTTTTCAAATACAGTAAAACATAGAAAATAATCAGTAGAGTTAAATCAGTATCTGACTACAGTGACTTAACATCTTTGCTGGTATTTTTTTTAAATGTTTTAAATGTTTTTTATTAAAGTTACAGTTTTACAACCAAAATATCACTAACAAATTAGAAATGACTCATGTAGCTAGTTGCCATAGAAATGACTCGTGTAGCTAGTTGCCATTGAAATGACTCGTGTAGCTAGTTGCCATAAAAATGACTCATGTAGCTAGTTGCCATAGAAATTACTCGTGTAGCTAGTTGCCATTTTAGACAAATTCTCCTCAACTAATTTATAGACAACTGAATCTATAAGCACATGCATATCACATCATATTTAACAATTTCTGATTAGCGCCCTCACAGGTCACTTGCATCATTTTGCCTGTGTGACCTTTCACCTTGTTGTTATATGTTATATACGCAAGATTATTGTAATCAGGATATTTATTGTAATCCTGTCATTTATTATTATTATAGTATTCATTATTATATTTTATTTATATATTTATTTAAATATATTTTTCAATCCATATCTTGTTTGAAACATGAGCACCTTTGAGATACATGTATGCCATACATCTATGTCTGTATAGTTATCGTTGAGATTTATTGTTTAAGTAATATTTCAAGGATTGAATTTGATATGGGTTGTGGATAAAGGCACATCAAGTCATTTTGTTATCTTTATTAATTAGACATTTCTATGTATGAGAAAGTTGTTCATTCCTATTGAAAGATGTATCTTTTCACCTCTCTATGACCTGTTGTTATATACCGGTAGGCCCAAAGGAAATAAAGAATCAAGATTATCATCAACCGCAATTACTCAAACTCTGTGTGTGTTTTCCCGTACATTGCGTAAATATTTTTTTATACGCAATTCACTGATCCGGCCCCCACCACCAGTGAATCTGTGACAATTATAATTACTGTTTAATAATCTGTGTTAATTTTAGTTACATAACGACAACACCATGTGACATACGTGATGTACGTACTTCTATTATAAACACTTACCATGTACCAAGATCTGTGTTGGTCTACTAATTATACTGGCGT